CTTAATATATGAGGGAGTGCCTTGGTGAACTGTAGATTCTGTGAAACATTTATTATTCAATGGACAATTTGTAGGATTCCTAAAATTTTTCTCTACGATTATTTATTCTTATTTCCTGAACACTATTCTTTGATTCTGGCTTAAGTATTTATTTAAAATTTTCTTATTGTGTTTCTTTTATAATTTTTTCTAAATTATCAATACATCTATAATTTAATTTTAGGGTATTATTATTAAAAATTTTGCTAAGTTTATTATTTCTAGGAAAATGTTTTTTCAATTAAAGTAAGAAATGGTTGTACTATCTTACTACAAACAATTTTGTTGAATCGGAGTGTGTAAAAATGATTTTTTTATTTATATTTCTTTTCTGACTATTTATTTATATATATATATATATATGTATATATATATATTTAATGTCACGGCATTTGTAGCTACTATTCTTTAAATCTTTATTATAAAAAATACTGTGTTCATAGAATATTTTTCATTAGCGGAATTTGTACTTATTTTACCCATAGATGGAGGGAGAACCAACTCGCATTCGAAATCGTTTTACCGATTACCTAAATCCGATCTGTTATTCATTACTCTTCCGTGTTTCCAAATTTAATACGCTTTCTAAAGGAATCCGCAAGTTGAGTTCGAATTCCAGTCGACTTTATTCCATTCACTGACGTGCTAATATCCTATGGAAAATTATGAATCCATCTCTCCTCTGGTTAAAATACCAGGGCAGACTGCTTCCTGTAGCCTTGATTGTAGCAGTATACAGAATTAAACCTGCCCTAAAAGTCCTGCCCCGTCAGACAAAAGTTAGAAGAAGGGAAGTTTAAATACAATAATCCCTTTGAGAAGTAGGACCGGTTAACCTCAAATCCCTTGGAACCGGTAATCCATTGCACTATTCTGCATTGAATATCATTTTTATGTGATGGAGGGAATTGAATAATTAAGTAAAATGAATCAATGATTAATTAATGCCCAATTCTAAAAGTCCGTACTCTATCAAGAAGGATTTAAATGGTTTGGAGAATTTGACGATCCTTACCATTTTGTGGGTAACACCTTTGTGAGATCAGCGTTCTCTTTAAAGGAAACATGCAGTAGTCAGGTAAGAATATCGACTACACCTCAAGAAATATACAGCTACAAACACCTTATGAATATTTCTCTTTGCTGAAGCGAGATAATTATGACGGTTCCGTATAGGATACAGGTTCGATTCCTATCGGAGAACGGATATTTTCTATTTTCTATATTTTTATTTGGGTCCTGTCAATGGATCTAACTAACGCCTTTATCCACTGTGCCATGTGTCCATAATGAGTGAAAAAAGAATGAAAAGAGTGAAAAGAAATAAACGAAACAAGGGAGACGCAAACTGAAATCGAACTAAAGTGTATAGTCTGGGGGAACTGCAAATAAATACATGTTTGAGGGCGGAGGACGTTGACTGTACATTTTCAGCCATTCCATTCCCTTCACTGTTTGAGATATTTCTAAATGTACGTTCTATATTTCTTCGTGTCATAATGATAATAAGAGAATGATCATTAGTACGGGTTTAAGAATGAAAATACATTAAGGATAACAGAAATTTAATTAAGGAGACAAATATAAGTAATTTTTAATAAAAAGAAAATAATCATAAAGAACCAAATTATTACGACATTTCAAGGGATTATTCTTTAGGAAAAATAATGATGATGATAATGGTAACTGGTGAAAGAATGTGAGTCAATGATATAACTACTCCAACCATAAACCTCCCCACACAACCACTCCAACGAATAGTGCTACGACAACAACAAATAATGATAATGATAATAATAATAACAAAAACAACAACAATAATAAAAATAATCACAACAAAATAATAATAATCATCACAACAACAACAATAATAAAAATCACAACAATAATAATAAGAATCAAAATAATAATAAACGAAACAATAATAATAATAATAATCAGAACAATCATAATAATAATAATCACAGCAACAATATTAATAATAATAATCAGAACAATAATAATAATAATAATGTTAATTTCCCTATGCAAGTTCTACATTTACTTAACAGGGTATTTGTGTCCTGTCAATGTATCTAACTAACGCCTTTATCCACTGTGCCATGTAACTGATAACTGAAATCCATTAAACATGGCACGTGAAACTAGAACAGTCTACCCCAATGAGCGAAATAAAAAATTCAGTTTGACATTCCAACAACCTGAAGAAGGCCTGGGCGTACAACGGCCGAAACGTTGTAATAAATATGGCAACAAAGATGTGGACAATAGCCCGAATAGTGTAAATAGTGTACATAATACCTCATCTCAGAAATATAGACAGATACTTTATCCTCTCAATCTTAAATCGAAAAAATTGTGAGTGTTAAGTAAGAGAACATTAAATTACGAACCACGTACTTTGATAATTCAATTCAGGTGATACTTTTTACTATAAGCTCTTCAACTTCACGTATGTCTCATAATGAGAAGGAAATGGTCAAATATACTTCTTCTTTTTCACCTGGCGGTTGATCTCTCCTCTGATATAGCTTTAACAGGTGAAGATGATTTGCTGATCACATTCAATGCATTGAAAACCAAACCAGTGATGTTCCATCATCACAGAAGAAGATCCGTTTTTACTTTCCTGTCATGATAGACTCTAAAAGTGCTTTCGCGTCCTTGTGAGTGAATTGTTTTCCACCCCACAGGTGCAACGTCGCAAGCCATTCGCTATTTCCATGGAAAATGTTCAGGTTAACTAAATTGCTTAGTTCAACCAGTTGTAACCTTCACGTACATTTTAGCGAACCCCTCTCATTTCCTATGTAATCAAGTGGTAGGATGTAAGCTCTACTTGAGCTGCTTCTTCCTACAAACAGCTGCTTTGTGGAACTGAATTCCGAGAGGATCCTTTCCCGATCACTACAATCTTAATCTGTTCATGTCAAGAGCTAATCATTACCTTCACCACATATCTCCATAAACATCGCAACTTAATCTGTAAACCTCTACCACAATTATAGTTTTCTTACATTCTTTAACATTCAGAAACCCGTTCTGTCTTAGTGTTTTATTGCCTTACTTTGGGTGAAATTTTTAAACAAAATAAAATCTCGCCGAGAAGTCTAAAACTGCATTATACTTTAAAAACAAGACATCTAAATATGGGAAACATGCACCTTGCTTTCCAGTCCAATTTTCAATTTCTGCTTTTAAATATCATATCCTATTAGCTTACAATCCCACAAATACGTTTCGACTTTAAACGGTACAAAAATGAAATGCCTTTCATAGATCATTGAATTATCCATACTACATTATTGTCAGTTGTATAGCTTACTAAAAACATAAACAAAAACTCTTATGGCGATAAATTAACAAAAAATGTTATGAAACTTACAAATCATCAACGCATCTATCTATCTATCTATCTATCTATATATATATATATATACGTAACTCTGGATGATCAATATAATATCAATCAGCTAAATTGTTGTACTTATATTATTTATATACATTCATCAATTATATTTTTATATATGAAAATATCGTAAACAATACAATATGATGACAGAGTTCCAAAAACTTTCAGACACCTCATATCATCTGGTATTACCTTTTTTGTAGGCTTTGTGTGCACCCTTTGTGTGCACCTTTTGTATAGGCTACTGAAAGGGTAAGGGAAAACCGGTTTTTTCCAAAAGATTTTTAGTCTTGCTTTGTTTTCAGTCAAATTATATCTTAATTAATTATGCAGTATTCTTCTTCTCTGTGTCATTTCACTTAAGGACGTTTCCGATCATGACTCTCCGCAATTTCCTCTCCTTTGTTTACCTTGTTCGGACTGTTGTGCTCATCATGTTGTCATATTCACAACCTTTCGGCTATCGTACGCTCCGGCTTTTTCCCGGTGATTCTAATTTCAAACTATACACTTTATTTCGTCCACCGGAATAGATTGTGCTAGTTGGATGATATTCCTGGTGTCTGAGTTATCTCCATTTAGCCCAATTCATTGGGTCAAGTCACTGCATCTAACAAACGCTTTTATCCACTCTACCATGTGTCCTTGAGGATATCAGTGTATGAATTTTTAGGAACTTAATATCTCAATACTGTTGTTTACATGAGCTAATTTGTAATTGTGTTGTTATTATTGCTTTTCTCTTGCACCATGGTTCCCATATTTTATTCATTTCTATACTCGCCCGACTTAGGAGATCTTTGTAGTCTAGCATATATGCCGATCTTTTAAATTTTTGTATTTTTCAGTGAAGTTCCCTGTTTATAATTTCAACCTCATACAACAGGTAGCGGTGATCTCCCTTTTCCATCAATGTACGTCTGATTTTTCTATTTCCCCTCGTGTTACGGTTTTACAGTGTTCTTTCAGTCTTATCTTAAGAGGACGGCCTGTTTCTCTTTTACATTCCAAACCACAGCTGTTCTCCTCTCTTTGGGTATTAATCGAAATAGGTTTCTGCAAGATGTTGAACCACTTTTGAAGGTCGTGCAGTTGTTATATGGACCACGGATATATTGTATTTTTTCGATAATCCCATTACATAGGGTCGGCAGACCGAAGCTATTTTCTGAGAGTTGCTATCCTTTTTTTACCCTTCTACCCTATTTTGTCAGGGTAGATATTACGTACAATACCAAGCTACTGTAGGGGTGGACAAAAACTTGGAGAGTTGAGTTAAAGGCATATAACTGAGACATCCGGAAGAGGCATGACACATGGAACTAGAACAATCTACTTCGGTGGAAGAAATAAATGGTTCATTACAAAATTCAAATCACCTGAAGAAGGCTGAAGCACTCAACGTCCGAAACGTTGTGAATATGTCAACGAACATGGGGACAACAGTTCGAATAATGTAAATATTGCAAATAATTACAATACCTCATCTCAGAAATATGGGCAGATATTCCTTTCCTTTGTAGCTATTTATAAAATTTATGAATATCACAGTATGGTGTGATATAGATGGATAGATAATGAACAGACCGAGATAGATAGATAGATAGATAGATAGATAGATAGATAGATAGATAGATAGATAGGAAGTAACTTTCTGTGTAATGTTAAACTGGAACTTTAAAAAGGAATATTGCTTTTTGCAAATTAAGAGAGATTGTTTTTATTCATTATTACCTTTTCGAGATGCTCAATATTTTCTTTGGAAAAGTTGTGTTCAGACTTTGGAAACATAATTATACCAGTTAGCCAGCTAGAATAAAAGAGTCCTTCCGGGTAACTCAAGTGACAATAGCATCAAATGGAAAGGGACTTTTTTCTTTCTCTATTCCACTTCAATATTACTGCATAATCCGGTTCTGTCAAATTCTATCTTATGTTCATAATGGAACGAAAGTGCATTATGTTTTCGTACAATCAAATACACAACACACCTAGAAGAAGTACGTACGCAAACACACACACAAATATATAATTTATATATATATATATATATATATATATATATATATATATATATATATATACACAAATATGCGCATGCACACTCACAAAAGAGTGCGTCTCATTAAATGTTAGCCACAACAAAAAATATACAAATGCTGAAATAAAACAACTTTCCAATAAAATAATCTTATCTTGTAGACAAGTCTATAATGCAAAAGATGAAAATAACGTCCATAAACACTCACTTATGCAATAAATATTTTCAATACGGAAGCAAACACGTTGAATGCAATTATTATGTCTTACTAGACTACCCGTAACCCGTTGGGCCACTGACTGTTCAGGTTATAAAACAGTGAAGTTGATTTCAGCATTCTATTGAAATAAAATGTTAGGTTTTTTTTATGCTTCAGTTAAATATTTCAATTCGTTCTTGTCATCATTTTGCTCTGGTTTAAAAGTTGATTGTTTAACATTTTGCTGCTTATTATTTGCATTTAATAGTAAAATAGAAATTACGAAATAAACTTGAACTTTTTTTTTTTCATAATATGCCAAAAAATATTTTTTAATCATATTAACATGAAAATATCTTTAAATATGACAAAAATATTTTTTTAAATGTTTAAAATATTGTTTGATTAAAAAATATTATTTGTTTAAAAAATATAAATAATTACTATACAAACAACTGGACGAAACACCGAAGCGAGATCTCTTTCTGTTTTCTTTAACTCAAATATATTTTAATTAAGAAATTGTCGATTTGAAGAAACTTAAAATAAAAATACTTACTGTATAAATAACTTGTATTTTGAAATTGTATTCACTTCAATCAGATTGACTTAAATCCTTATGCGCCGGATGGACGTTCGACAAAAGGATGCACGCAATCACAGACTTTTAGTATTACAGAGATAGATAATTGTATGCTATTATTATACATGCCTATGTAATGATTTTCTTCCTGGAATCAAAGTGTAGCATCTGTCCTATCAGCTGTCCTTTTGATAATTAATTATCAGTAAGTGTCTAGAATAAAGGCCATAGGGACGTGCGCAAAATAAAAATGAAAAAAATACTTCCCTGACTCGTCAATAAAGAAGTGTTTATTTTTTACGCATAAGTTGATAGCAACTCGCCCTTCCATGGAGTATTGCTGCCATATATGGTCTGGAGCCCCTTTTGTTTGTATCAAGGTCCTTGATAAAACCCAGAGACGGATATGTAATGTAATTGGCCCTGATCTGGCATCTCGTCTGCAGTCGCTCTCTCACAGACATGCCGTCGCCTCCCTCTGACTTTTTGTACAAATACTTTCATGGTAGCTGCTCCGATGAGCAGCTTTCAATGGTTCTCAGACTTTAAGCGTTCAGCTAGGCTGGCATCTCGCTCCCACCACTTCACTGTCGAAAGTGTTAAATGTAGCCGTCTCTTCTCCTTCCATAGCTTCATGTCTCGCACCTCTCGCCCGTGGAACTCCCTTTCCTCTCCAACTATTCAAATGTAATGTCAATCGACGTCTCCAGATGCATTGATCTATCCACTATCATTCTCTTCATCCTTTCCTCTATCACTACTCTCTGTAACATCTACCGTGCTAGTGACCTCCCGTCTTGCTTGGGGCGAAATGTTTATATATATATATATATATATATATATATATATTAAATAACATTTACCGGCCTTTTACTTAAATACTTGTATCTATAAAATAACAACGTTAAACATAAAAATGTCTTTAATAAATAAATATATATATATATATATACACAGAGAGAGAGAGAGAGAGAGAGAGAGAGAGAGAGAGAAAGAGAAGTTTATATTTGAATCGAAACCGTGAAACTGATTTCAAAAGAAAGTTCTGGTTGCTATACATGGAGGTGTGTGCCTAAGATAAAAGGTAATGGTAATTAGCCGTTTCTTTATAAGGAAACATTCGGTATCCGTTGACTGAGCTACTTTTGAATGAAATTTATCAAATCTCTTAAAACGATTTCTAATAAAAATAAATTAAACAAATCAAGGAACTGTTATCTGTCATCCCAGTATCAAGCGGGGCGTCTGTAGTATAGATTGTCATTATCTTCGCTGTGGCACTCTATTCTCTTTTCGAGATACATGTGATATCCATTTTAGTTGTTGCTACTGTTGAACGTCCTCAAATTATGTGGTTTCTTTTATCTTGTAACATTCTGCGTTTGAGATTCTTTAGCGCCAGTTCCTGAGATTTTTTAAAAGTCTTTTAATTTAATTATATAATTAAATTTGAAGTTTTTAATTTCTGTTTTTGAAACATAGTAATTCCTGTGTAGTGAAGAAACCATATTTTTAATTCAGTTAATTTATAATATTTATGCTCTGTAAATTTACAATGAGCACTATATTGTTAAAATAAAAAATAAATCAATAAGAACAACGGATTATATATATATATATATATATGTGTGTGTGTGTGTGTGTGTGTGTGTGTGCGCGCGCACGTTGTATCAAAATACTTTTACAAATATTAGAGTCGGGTTCCTCACATCAAAACCAGGACAAAAGTTCATATGAACATATGTCTGCAAATCCTTTGTTTTTGAGTTATTAGGTTTAAAGAAAGTTTATGGTAGTTGGCACTGTGTTTGACATGTAAAATATCATTCGTGTTGTCATTCGTTTACATTGGTGGCTCATCTGTTTGCAATGTTTACCGTGTGTAGTAGTGAGTTAACTGATAAGTGTTCAGTGTCAGGATGTCATATTGTGAGCTGTCACTTTTTGTCATTTTTTATATACAGCCGTTGCGAATGAGGAATCTGTAGGAGATGACCGATTCCATGACCTACGCTTTCCTCCGACCTCAATCCTAGATTTGTATCTATGGAGCCATCTCAAACAATTAGTTTATGCAGTAGACATTAATAATGAAGAGACGCTTCATTTAAGTGTCAAGGAAACCGTGTTGGAGTATTTGAAATGGTCTACCATTTAAGAATTCTATTGGTGGATGTGTGTGTAGAAGCAAGCTGGGGACATTTCAAACATTTGTTATGTGTTTCTCTGTTATGGATATATATTTATATGGATATTGTAGCTTGTTTCGGTGCCAGAAAATGGCACCGAAAATGTGTAAAAGCATTTTCGAAACAGTGAGCCAAACAAAAGATAGGATTTAAACATGTATCAATATGGTGATTTCCTGTCGTCTTTCAATGATAATGTTATTAAGATTATCAGACAACATGAAAGGAACTTACTTAAAATTAAAGACAAAACTTGTCTATATTATTGAATGAAAAATGCATATATATATTGAACAATAAAAAAATATAAAAAAATTAAAATCTTCAGACACACTGGGTTGTAGATTAATATTCTTTCGTTTTTTTTTATTATTTTTTCATTTAGATTCCTCGACTAGTTTCGGCCAAAATGGCCATCATCGGAGAAGAAATATTTCTGCTTGCTGGTAGCAGTAAACTACAGAAATGAATGTCTTGATGGAGAAAATGAACTTTTGTCTGTAGTTTTCATTTGTTTTTTTTTTTTTTTTTTTTTTAACATGAATCTTTTAACATTCCTTGTGTTGGTCAAACAGTCTCTTTTAAGTTGTTATTTGAGATAAGAGCTGGATGGATCTATGCTTCTCTGAATTCCCTGGTCAGTTTGACAGTTTTATTGGACCTGGAGAGGGGATGTGTCTCTGTTTAGTGTTTGTGTGTGTGTTATTTGGTTCTTAGGGGGGAGTGAGTGAGTATGATATGTGTAAGCGTGTGTATTGCTGTGGGTGTGTGTTATCATTTGGCTCATTAGGGAGTGAGTGAGTATGATGTGTGTAGTGTGTATATTCGTGTGGGTGTGTGTATAAGTGTGAGGCCTCAACTCAACACCTCCGTAAGCATGTCTGTCTTGTGTGGGTGAGAAATGTGGGTAGGTTTTGATTTGTTGAGTTATATATTATTACTATCTATATTGTTAAATTTATGGTTTTAGCCCGGCTGGATATTGTGTTTTTAGACGTTGTATCCATTTATTTTCATGGAACTCTAAAATCTTTTTAATGTTATCTGCTCTGAACTTTTCTATTCTCTCAATTATAGTGAATTTGGCATGGGTTTTTGAAATCGTGTTTTTCCAGGCGGAAATGTTGTTCTACAGGTAATAATTTTTCATGGGGAGTCGACTTTATTCGATTGTGATAATTATTAATTCTGTTATGAAAGGGTCATTCACATTTTCCTAGATATTGTTTCTGGCATAGTGCGCATTCTAGGAGGTAAATTATGTTATGACTTCTACAGTTAGAATCGTGGTAGATTTTGAAAGTAGATTTAGTGATTGAGCTAGTGAATGAATTCGTGTGTTTAATATGGTTGCAACATAAACTTCTTTTTGTTGTTACATGGTTGGGAAAAAATCCTGTTGTTTTTTTTTCTTTGTTTTATTACGGATTACCTTGTCCCCTGAAATGTGGTTACTACCTATATTTCTTTTTTTCGGTTCTTAGGTCTACGATATGCTAGAAGGCCGGGTTCCTAAAAATTTTTTTTTAGGTCTGGTTTGAGATGTAGTATTTCCCAGCGACGTTTGATTATTTGGGATATATGGAGGCAGAGGGAATTGAAAGTGGTTACTAGAATGGATGCGGCTTTTAAAGATTTATTTTTAATCTTGTATATTAGGGTGTCTTCTCTAGGTGTTTTCAAATTTATTTATTTGTTCCCTGATTAGGTGTTGTTTATAATTAAATATTTGTGGATTGATGCTCCAGATTTTCAATGTTTTAAATTAATTCTTCATTGTTGGAAAATATCCTTCTTAGTCTAAAATCTTGTGAATAGGAAATAGATTTGAGGTGTTTAGGGTGGAGAAAGACTTAAAGTTAGATAGTTGTTGTCGGTGATTTTAGTGTGTATACTGTCGTTTGTAGTTTTATGTTTTCATCTATGTAAATGCGGCGTGTCTTCAATGTTACTGATGTTGTGGATTTTCTTAGTCAAACATAATTGAGTCGTGCACTGTGTTTGTCCCAATAAGGAATTGATAAGTAAATTTTATTCGTAAATATATATACAAATATATATCATCGATATATTTGCATAGAATATATACGCAGTAATACCAATGATTATTATATATGGGTCTCCTATATTTTTCCCATGAATATTGTAAAATGATGATGGATGAAATTTGGTGCCCATATATATACAACCTCTTATTATTGCTAGATATACCATTGAAGTTATTTTATATAATAATGTTAATACATGTAGTTAGATGTATTTATAACGTTTAAATAGATAAAGGCGTTGGTTTAGATTCTTTGACAGAAAAAAAATAAGTGTGAGTTTAGACCTTACTTTTAATTTTAATGTTATGAATGTCTTTTTTATTTATTTATATATCATTAATCTTAATTCGCTCTGGAACTGTTTGTATATTAAAACGGAACGGAACGCTGTTCAATAAAATCTTTTTTTTCTCTTTTTGATTATTTTTTTTTATTCAATATCCATCGTTTGTTTCATAATGATTTATATGTATTTTAAATTTTTGTTTATGAATATGTCCTGAACGATGGTCTATTAGACTTTGCCTTCCTGACGTTGACATGTGTATTTTATTAATTTACAGATAATGTAATTTTTGGTGTTGTTTTTTTTTATATAATTTTTTTGTTTCCTATATCGTATTAATTTATATATATATTTACTTAAGTTAATTCTTTTTATATTTTTTTTATATTTTTTTTTTTATTTTTTATAAATTTTCTGGTGTCTGACTATTTGGTGAATGTTTTATGTTCAATTCCCCCCCATTTTATATATTTGATTTCATTAAATGTGTCATATGTATTATATCATTAAATGCATATCTATTAAATTATTTATGAGGGCTATTTTGCATTCCCCTTCAGATTATTCCTTTAAAATTTGTAAAGTTTTGTTTCAATTTTTTTTCATTTTTTTGGCTTTTTTTAAATGTTGTTTTAAACATTTTCACTATTTGAAAATTGATACATCTAGTCTTTTTCTTTCATAGTCGATAAACAAATTAAACTAACATTTTTAAAAATAAAACCATTTTAAAAAAAACCATAAAAAGAACGATTTTTAAAAAAAACCTTCTTCAAACTTTGAATCAAACCTTTTCGGGGGAAAATGTAAGTGAAACTTTTATACCCTGAATTTAATGGCAAAATGAAAATTTATTTATTACGAAAATTTATAATATCCTTTACATATGGGTCAAGTTTGAATTTTGAAAAAAACAAAATAATGAATGTTTGAATAATTTTAAAAAATTCCATTGGTTAATGCATTTTCAAACAATAGGGACTATTTAATTTAAAATTTATCCCATTTTTCTGTCCTAGTTGGGGGAAATCCAAAATTTTTGTTTTCTTAATTAATGAAATGTAATTTGACCTTTTTATTGTTTTTTATAGGGTTAAATTTTATTTATTTAAATTGTCTGGGATATCTTATATTCCTAAATTTAACTGGAATTTGAATATTGCTTTTTTTTGGTTTGCTATGTTTGTACTTTACCCCTAATTTGTCAGCGATACATGTTTGGTTTGTTTTTTGTGGGTGTTTTTTTGATTAAAATTTTTCAGAACCATTTTGTATTTGTTTTTAAATTGTTGGTTGTGGTGCTGGTGGTTTTCATTTTCTATAGAAAAAGTTAGTCTGTTTTTGTTTTTTAGTTCTGGTTTTAAGTGTAAAAATCAAAAAAATGTCTGATTTTTTTTAAAATTTTTTTTCGCGGTATGATTTTAAAAATTTTTGAAAAATTTTTTTTGTTCCTCTGTCTTTATCAAAGATTCCATGATTTTATTTTTTTAATTGTTTTTAAAAGTTTTTATTTTTTTTCCTTCACTTAAGACAAGTT